AAGAAGTAGCCATTCTCAACAGATTGTTACCATCTACATCCTGCAATGCATGAGACAAAGGCACAATTACTTTGAACATCAGCCATACAGGGTAGAAATGAGGAAACATATACTTCAATATGAACGGCCACAGATATACCTATGACTGTCAACATAGGTGTTTTGCATGTCACAACAAGTGCCACCTTAGAAGAAAGATTCCCTTTTGCAGATTGAAAAAAATAGGGAACTTTTCTTCTATAAACAAAACCCAGTGGTGCTGTCAGGGCAAAATGAACAAGGCTTCCAAAGAAAAAGGGGGAAGAGTAATTAAATCCACATCTAAAGCTATTCCAACTCTGTTATTCTATCAAACTACATTGGCAACTAAAATCTGCAACATTTGCAAATATCTATATTATGAAGAATTATTGTAATAAAGAGCCATTGTTAACCAACTTTTCAATCAATGATACTAAACTAAGACCTTACAGCTCTCCTTTAGAGAAAGAAGCAGCAAGTGGCTAAGATCTGATATCTGGGGCGCAACCTTAGGACCACTGGATGAGGTTGGTGAAGAATCACACTACTTAAAATTTGCTTGAGTGAATGGACCAAAGGAGCAATAAAATTAAAATAAATGGGCAACCCCTTATTATGGGTTATACGATTGACATAGGAAAACCCCAAACAACCACTAAGTGGGCCTAAGAAACAAAGAGGATGTTTAACTCTTTGCTTCCAGCCAGGGATTATCTGAATGGGTTCAGTCCAGATGTGATGCCCCTAGCTCAGTGTTTCTCAACCTTGGAAGCTTGAAGATGGTGGACTTCAACTCCCAGAATCCCCCAGCCAGCACCGCTGGCTGGGGGATTTTGGGAGTTGAAGTCCACCCATCTTCAAGCTACCAAGGTTGAGAAACACTGCCCTAGCTGTTGCAAGGAGGCTGAAGCAAATCCAGCGGCTACTTTGGATTCTGTGGGGTCAGGCAGAAATGCAGTGGTAGCTGTTAACGGCTTGAGACCAGTCTAATATGGTAAAGGCTCATTGTTTTTCATGCTGGACGCCCCAGCCAAAATGGAGGTATACGAGACCTCGGTTCCCACAGTGCAGGCACAGATGCTCTCATGGAGAAGCTCCTTCTGGCTTGACCTACTGCAGGCATCCCAGAGGGCTTTAAGTAAGACGCCGCTAGAAGGAAGCATCCATTGCTAGCATTGCAGAATCAATGCTTAGCAATCGGGCGGCCTTCGCCATCGAGAGGGGAACGAGGAACTGACCTCGCCTAGCCCTGCCTACTCCACTCCGAGACCGAATTACCAATGAAATTGCGCTGCGGTTACTGGAATCATCCCGGAGATGATGCAAACCCGTGACGGAGCAACTGGACCGGCAAGGAGACAGGTGGCCCCCAGAAGGCGCAGGGAGGGAAGTGGGCCTCACAGATATCCACGCCTCTCGCCAATACCTTGAAGAGCTGATGGCCCCGAGAGGCTAGTAAGAGCGGAGATGAGGCAAACGGGACCTCCCACGCCCGTATCCATCTCGGCGTGACTAAAAACTGCAACGACCCGAGGAATCAGGTGTAGGCTGCAACTTGTACGGCGGTGGCTCTCCGCGGTGGTCTCCCATTGGTTGAGGATGAGCTCATCCTCTCGTCTTTTAGAATAGAGCTCCAATCGGCGGGATTCTCCGGCGTTTGCGGAGCCGGCCTGCGGGGTCCAATGAGCTAGCGTAGGGCCATGGACAAACGGGAGGGGCTGGCCGGGAAGGTGGGGGACAGGATTTCCCGCTTCAGGAAGGAAAGATGCTGGGCTTGGAGAGGAATGAACAGATAGTAAAGGCAGAAGGAGGAGGAGGGAGGATGATCAATTGTACTCCGAGATTAGAAATTGGTGTATCTTCTCAAAAAACGGGTTTTGTTTCTTGCTGACTATTCCTCCCCCCCCCCCCAAAAAAAAACACACACACGCACAGACACACACACCCCTTTCCCGTGCAATCATTACTATTCTATGTCTGCGGGACACCACAGCGCAATCATTTCTTTGACGGCAAGCCCTGGTTGTTCAAACGGTCGGGGGGGTGGGGGCAACTATTTTCTGATAACCTACCCTGAACCTCTGCCATATAACGTCAAATTAAACATCACGATTTGAAAAGAAAGTATGTTTGAGCAATTAACTATCTCTAATTTTGCAGCACTTCCTTCTCATTTCATGCCTGGCTGTACAAATAATGTCCTTTACAAAACGTATAATTCCAAAATCTTATTTCAAATTTATCTGGACCCTTAGTCCATTTGTAATTTTCCAATATCAAGGTTCTAACCATTTTGTGCTGTTTGTTCAAAAAAAAAATTAAGCCTTTAAATTATTATTTAAAACTGATTTCGCTAAGGATTGAAAGAAACTCACCCAGTGCTGTAAAACATGTTAATCAAAAGTTACTAATAGCTGAAAATAGTTAAGGAGCAGTGAACCCAATATCCTTAAAGGTGCCCGCTATGTTTTCTGCAAAATGGATATACCACACTCATCTCCCAGAGCTCTTAAACCCATTGGAGATTGCTGTTTTGCAGTCTTCTTGCAAGGAGCAATTGTCTGGAGCACTTTTGGGTGATCTCCAGTCCTCTTCTTACCCAGAGAAGAAATATGAAAAGCCAGTCTGCTTGCTGAATGTTTGTTCTGCTGCAGTTTTGCTGCTAAAAGGGGGACCATTTTCAGTTCACTATTTCTTTCTCGGAAGACACAAAGAAATGGGTTTTTTTTAGAAGGAACTCACACCTTAACAGGAACTATTTCTATTTGAAATTTTGGTACTTCAATTGTACTTAATAATAATAACACATAAAATATTATAATCTAAGGATCTTCAAACTTTTTGTGCCAGAGAATATAGATTTGGGGAATGTATTGTTATATTCTCCATCTGTTTTTCACAAGGGGAACAGATGAAAATGATATCCTTCTTACCATGTAGTTTCTGAATCACTTCAGCCTTTTTCTTAGAAAGTGAGCTATTTCCAGTCAAACACTAGCCTCAGCCATCAACTCTTACTTTCTACAAATTCCTTCAGTAGTTCTGTGCAGCCTCCAGCATTCTTGGGAAAAAATGATTCATTAGTTTTATGAAATTTGTTTTCCCATTTGTTTATAATTAAGATAGTATAAAATAAAATAAATCATGGAACTAGTCAGGTACTAAATGAAGTATTATTGGGAGCATTAAAGAAAATATCAGTAATTCAGAGTGGAAATGAACAGTCTTTAGCTCTCTGAGCTTGGTTGTTTTCTAATAGACATTTCATTACCCAAAGTGATGGGAAAATCACTTGGTAGTACAGGGGTTTAAGGCACCCTGTTATTAAGCTGGTTATTAAGACCAGCTGCCTGCAATTACTGCAGGGTTCGAATCTCGCCAAGGCTCAAGGTTGACTCAGCCTTCCATCCTTTCTAAGGTAGGTGAAATGAGGACCCAGTTTGTGGGGGCAATAAGCTGACTTTGTATAAATATACAAAAGGATGAAGGCTATTGCTGAGCACATTGTAAGCCACCCTGAGTCTTCGGAGAAGGGCGGCATATAAATCAAATAAAAAAAAAATGCTACATAACATCATCCATGCTAGAGATCAGTGCTAGTCACAGATGATGTTACCTAATTTCTGTAATGAAATGTCTGCAAGAAAATAACCAAGCTCAGATATTCTTTTTCAGGAGGCAACTGAACATTTTTGTTTTTTCTTTGAAGACGTTTTACTTCTCATCCAAGAAGCTTCCTCAGTTCTGACTGGATGGTGGGGAATGGAAGGATCCAGTCAGACCTGAAGAAGTTTCTTGGATGAGAAGCAAAATGTCTTCAAAGAAAAAACAAGGAAGTCCAGTTGCCTCCTGAAAAAGCACCTTTGGAACAACCATGACCTGGATGACTGAGAATCTCTACAGACTTCAAGCTCAGAGACTTCAAGCTCAACCTCTTTATTGTTAATATTGGCACTCATATCACTTCATATTCTGTCTTTCTCAGTCATATGGGGAAAAGTGCAATTGACTAAAGGAAAATTTGATTCTATATATGGCAAACAAAAGCATTTTTCCCATCACTTTCTTGTCCTTGCCAGAGAGAAGGTTGCATTCTGAACTATAGATGTCTCGTACTGGGAATTTCCTGTGGGGCATTTCAAAAGTCATCTAAACAGTATCACCTATTTATAAATAACTAAGAATGAGAATTTTAAAACCAAGGTAGGATTCCTGCCCAATGGGTGAATAACAATGATTAGTATGGAATCACTGGAAAGCGGGCAAAATCTGGAGGTTCATGGGAGAATGAAAAATGAATAAAACATTTCGAAATTCAGATACATAGCCATACAATTTAGATTATTTCAAGGTCAAAAGGAAACTCATGTCATGGATTATTTTGGGTGCCCATTGCTACAACTTTAAACCCAAGAAATATCTAGTAAATACTGTGAGATTTTACTTGAAAATTTGAAAAAAAAATCATAAGGGAAATTTCCTATCCAGAAAGAAAAAAGATGCCAACCACAGAAAGTAGCAAAAAAAATCATGTCTTATAGTTCCTATCCTAACAACAATATCAGTGGTGGGATTCAGCTGGTTCTGTCCAGATCACGCAAACTGGTAGCGACTGCAGGAGGCTCCGCCCACCCATCCAGACATAATGTGCGACTAGTGTGCATGTGCAGAAGGCTGGTAGGGAAGGTGAGTGAATCCCACCTCTGAACAATATCCTGTATGAAATTTCTGCATTCTTATGCAGATGGGTAAGAAGTTTCCTTCAGATTTGGAACTCTCTATCAAGCACAAAGCTATATTCCAGATCAAGAATTCAGACAATCTAAATAGATAGCCAATCTAAACAACTGAATTGTTGACATCTCTAAGACTCTCCAGTCAGTGAAATTACAAGACAGAAAATAATTGCCTAAAAAGAAAAATTTGGCAACCTCTCACAAGATATTTATCTGGTTATCATTACTACAATAAAAAAAGCATTCCAAGAGGCATGCTGCATTTATTTTTACAAGTTTCCTAGTCTATCACACTCACATTGCAAAGGAACAGTTTTGAATTATTTGCCTCAAGTCACATAGGAAGCATGCTGGCCGCCTTCTTTAATAGCCCAACATATTGGATTGTGCTTTCTTTATCTCTGGTATATCATTCAGCAATTCAGAAGGATCACAACTGGAATTTATCTCTCATACATCCAGAGAAGACAAGTTCTTTTTCAGAAGAGGAACTAGGGTGAGCCAATAAAAATATTTTCAGAATCTGCATTTGGGTTTTGACTATAAAGCGATTTTATTTAGAATCATTTATTTGGAATGTTGTTGCACTGCATTGACTGAAAAAGCAGGAACTCATGTGCTATTTTACTACACAAAAGAAAATATTTCAAACCAGGAGGACCAAGAATATATTGCCATTAAGTTACTATGATATAAGAAGCAATATACTTCATTGGGTTAAATTAATAGTCTATTTAGTTCGCTTTCCTTTCATGGATGTTGTCGAATATAACAGTTCACAAATGTAGAGTCTCGGGAAAATTCCACCTTGTTTTCATATGAATCAGTAAAAGCTGTAGGTACAGGAATAATGAAGACATAATGACGCTTGCTTGTTCTTTCTTGACCAACAGTTACTATTTCCCATTCACCTATTTCAGTTTGAGTTCACTCACACTACACAGACAGACACACATAGCATCTCATAGCAGATTATTGCAAGAGTTGCATGCAAAAGGTATGCCATTATACTTTTTATGAACTTCTTATATTTCAATTTCACACCTTTCCCATCATTCGGGTTCTTAATTTACACGTCACAATTTTCTTCCATGTTTATTCAAACCTCAAGAAATTTATATAAGATGGGCATAATATCTGTCTTTATCTGTTCTTTTTGTTATCTGTGCTTTTTGGATAGCCACAGTCTCTAAAACTCTTTTCCATAAATTGGAAAACCTAATTTAAAATCTAGCAGTGATCTTGTACACTTTCTTGCAATTATTAAGGTTAGCACTTAAATCTCAGGGTAAAACAAGACCTATTTCTGTGTTCAGTTGCACTATTATTTTAAAGCTCACAGGAACTTACGGTACTTTTCTTTTAGGACTGATTGTGAACCTGCACTATTTTACAATGAGATGGACAGGCAGGAATATATTATTATAACAGTAACAGAGTTGGAAGGGACTTTGGAGGTCATCTAGTCCAACCCCTTGCTCATGCAGGATACCTGTACTAGGGATTCGAACCACCGAACTGCCAACCTTTCTGATCGACAAGCTCAGTGTCTTAGCCACCGAGCCATCTAGTCAGGTAATTAGTTGCTTGAACCTGCTTAAATCAGTTATGGGGTTGTCTACAATGTGGCTGACCAGAGAATTTACCTACTTTGTGAACTGTTTTTTTTTTTCAACAACCGTCCTCCCTCACCACCACTAAACCAGTTATACAAGTAGTTCTTGACTTACAACCGTTTATTTAATGATCGCTCAAAGTTACAATGGCACTGAAAAAAGTGACATGATCATTTTTCACATTTGTGACTGTTGCAGCATCCCCATGGTTACGTGGTCAGAATTTGGATGCTTGGCAATTGGCATGTACTTATGAGGGTTGCAGCATCCTGGGGTCATGTGATCACCTTTTTTTTGAAACCTCCTAACAAGCAAAGTCAACGGGGAAGCCAGATTCATTTAACAACCGTGTTACTAACTTCACCACTGTAGCAATTCATTGAACAACTGTGGCAAGAAAGGTTGTAAAATGGGGCAAAACTCACTTCACAAATGTCTTGCTTAGCAGTGGAAATGTTGGTTTCCATTGTGGCCGCAAACTGAGGACTACATGTATGAACAAAATCCAGTACACTGATAAGCAGTTACTATGATTTCCACTGCAAGATATGCAGAAGAGCTAGCAAAACATGTCAAGCACAACATTATATTTTCTTGAGAAAAATTATTTTGCGGGGATATTCCAGAACTAATTTTCCTAGGGGAATAAAGGCCTACATGTACACTAAGTTGGCAGTAACTTGAGCAGGAACCACAATCTCTGTGCTCCCTATTTCCTTGCCTAGGGCTCTGATTTCTAAAATGCTGACTTCTACAATCTTACTTGACAAGGAGTTTTAGCTCTTATTTATCAAGGTTAATTTGTTGTTTTAGACATCTTTTATAGGAAGGAGTGTACTCCAGATATTAACCCTGGTGAAAAACAAGACTTAAACAAGGATTGGCAAAGTGTAGCTCAAACTTTTCATTTCTCAATTCCCAACTGAGAGATAATATCCAGAAAAAATCCAGGAGGAAGTATTCGCATTTGTCTTAATAGTTTTAAGTTCTCCAAACTCCAAATATTTAAAACATAAACCAGCTGCTGTTTTCTTGTATTTCCATTTTACTCTCAATTCTGCAGAAATCAGAGTGAAATATTAGCTCTGTATAGACAGGAAATGGACTGAGATAAACAGGTCTTCACTTGATCCTGGGGCAGTCCTCTGATGCAATTATAAATATATAAAAAAACATCTCCTTCAGAATGTCCTGACATATTCTCACTGGGATGTTGTCTTTACTCCTCCCTTTTTGCTCTGGCACTTCAAGTGAGCAAGCTGTTACCAGACCCCTGAATTCATCAGTCAAAATTGTAATTGCAGAGGAATGTTGAAGAGGATTTAGCATTTAAAAAGAGGCATTGTGGCACTGCCCTTGGCTGAGAAAGCAACAACTATCATCAAATGGTACACCTGGAAAGGAAGCACAGAAGAGGTTCAGCACCAAATAAATAAACACCCAAAGATGTTAACATGGAAAATGGGCAGCTAGAACTACATTTCCTACCCTATGTGCAAACTCTGGTTTCTGCTCTGCCATAATAAATGCATTATGACAGAAGGTGGATTTATGCTAATAGCTACATTAAAAATCTAAAATGAAAACCAAGATACAGAAAATAAAATTACATTCCACTGTGTGTAAAACCTCTGTGAATTTCTCCTATTGGTTGAATTCTTCTTTAAGCTGCAAACATTAGTTTATTATTCCAAAGTAAACTTCTAAGGAATACATTTAGGTTCAATCTTAAAACATTGTAGCACAATGTTTTTATGTTGACAATCTCAAAACAGAATTATTTTTCCCCTTCAAAAGAACAAGGCAAAACTATTTGCCATAGAATATGGCAATTACAGGTAGTCCTTGACATACAACTACAATCTTGGTCATTGAATAAAGTGATTATTAAGTAAATAGCCCACATGACTGCTTCACTCAATGATCACAATCCTGGCTCTTCCAGTTGTGATCATTAACAATCATGTGAATTGTTCTGCAGACAGAGTGAAAGAACTGCCTGCTGAAGGAAGGGAACTCCTGGGATGTAGAAATGGACTCCAGGTTCCCCCTCCCACCTGTGCATGGAAAGGAACTCCTGCATTGGGCTGGAGAAACAAATCTCAGATCTTAAATATTCACACTTCATTTCTCCTGCTGGCCACATGAGTTCTTCTCTCCATGGAAGAACATTTCTATGCTGAACTGGAGAAACAAAAACTGGATCTTTGGAATCTGAGCTTTGTTTCTCCAGCCAAGCACAGATCTGAGCTCTGTTCCTGCACTCTGCCACAGGCAGATTCTGAAGAATCAAGTTTCATTTCTCCAGCCCAACATTGGAATTTCCCCCCTTGCCCTCTGTGCGTGGACATTCATTGGTTCTGCACCTTCCTTAAAACTAATTGTCTGTAAATTAAGCTATTCTTTTTTTTTGATTTGGTTGCAGGTGTTACTATACAACATTTGTTTAGTTAGCACCATGTTTATGCTCACTCATTCATTAGCTACTATGGAGCTAAATAGCCACTCATTCAGATCGTTTGACAGAAGCATTATCTAAGTAGCCATGAAAAAAAAGAGTACAGAGAAGAGCAAAAAAAAGCTATGGCTGCCTAGTCAGACTCTTACCATCGGCCAAAAAAAAAAAAAAAAAAATCAGAATCAGAGAATGGGGAAATGGGTGCAGCTGAATCCACACTGATGCAATACTTATTTATAAAGATGAGCTTTCCAGACCAACAAGATTCCCCCCCACCCCCACTGGCTTTGCATGGTCCAGAAGCCAAATCAGGTACTGATGGAAGGAAAGATGGTCTCTGCTTATGACTCACACACCATAGTATTCTTTTTCCTCTCCCTGCTGTTGATACTCACATAGAGATCAATTTTTGGGTCTCTGCTTTGCCCGCTTCTTCTTGCTGCGTCCCTTGAGTCTCCTCCTCCTTTTGGAGGAAAGGTGGGGAAAAGAGTGGATGGGAGATAAGACATTGCAGAGAGTCCCAGCCTCCAGAATCTTTAGTAATGCCACTTACCTCCCTGACTTCAGAGCATCTTGTCGGGGCCTGGCGGAACAGAATTAGACACTTTTAGCATATGGTGAGGTCTGCCACATACATACAGAGCACCTTGAAGACGTGATGCTACAGACCCAGTCAAGGGAAAGGGCAGATTCCTAAAAGAGTGTCCCACAGCCCTTGCTCCGTAAATATAGTTCATGCTACACTGCCTTTACCATCATGCTGGCTGTGTGCTAGATGATTCAGAAATCTCCAGCAACTTTGATAATGGCAACAGTGGACAGAAAGGCTGAAATCTAGAGCAGAAATGGGGAAGATTTTGACATTTTCTAAGAAGACCAGAACTACAATAACATCACTCAAGAAGGCAGGGTCAGCATTTTATGATTTTTACTGGGGTTCTTCTTTATCAATTTCTATTCAACCTCCTTAAGCCTTCTCTTGCAATGAGAAAGAGAAAATCCTGTTTATTTTCAACAAGAGTAATTAGAGAAGGCTCTAAGGGATCCCTCCCTCCCAAAGCCTCAAGTATAACAAGACTTTGTTTGTTCAGCCCGCTTCAGAGTAATAAATGAAGTGTGAGATGACGTCTGGAGCCGGATATGTCAGATTTATAATGGGTCTTCCAGGAATCCCAACAAATGCCTAATAATGCCACTCTGCAAAGAATTGGCTTATATACTGTAGGAAGATTATATCTTCATAAGAAATTCAAAGGTGTGGGGGGAAGGATTTTAGGGGGGAAAAACATCCAAACAATGAAAGTTTCAAAAGAGACAAAGAAGGCATATAGCATGATCATCAGAAGATAAGAAGAATTAATAGTGCATATCAGTACCCATATATTACTATGAGTTCTTCCATTCTGGGTAGTTCTAGAGCCGTGCTTCTCAACTTCGATAACTTTAAGATGTGTGAACTTCAACTCCCCATAGCTAGCTAAGGAATTATGGGAGTTGAAGTCCACACATCTTAAAGTTGCAAGTTGAGAAACACTGTTCTAGAGGTTTGATCAACTTGATGCATAATTATTTTTGAATGCCAGAACATGAGCAGGACACAAGCTGTTCCTTCCTTCCTTCCTTTAGCAAAGATGAGATATCTGTAAAAGTCCCAAATGTCATGGAGAACAGCTGAATTGGAACAGCTGCTACCTCTGCCATATTTCATCACATGGTGTCCAATTTATTAAGCAACAAGCATGCATGATATTTGCAGGACTGTCTACATACTGATCTTCTACTGGAACACAGAAAATACACAGAATGTAGCACTTGGTACTGAATTCAGTTCTTGAGTACTTTGCCTTAATTCTTTTTTTAGTTTTTTTTTTAAAAAAAAAACACATTCCTAAACTGTTTAGCAGAATTATGAAAAAGTTTTTATCCAATTCAGATTAATTTTGTTTGCACACTAAACTCTAATGACTTTAAGGAATGGCAGAGTAAGAGATTTAATGATCCTGCCAGGCTTAGTTCCAATGGAACCAACAAAATCTTCTTTCTGAAAAATCATATAAAGACCAACTGAGAATTGCATATTTGAGCTCATGAAGCAAAGAAAGAAATAAGTCAACACTTTGATCTCTCGGAAATCTTAATTTAATCTTACAACTGCTGATTTGGATATGGGAAAAATAAAATTAGGTTTTGAAGAACCCAGTGAAAATATATTCCTTTTAATACAGAGGATGAAATATGGTGGGGATTGGTAAATCTTATTAACATGATGTCAGCCAAAACACTGCCCCAATTAGAGTAACTGTGAGCAGAATTTATTTCAGAACAATGATGTATATCTGGGTGATCTGTTATAAACCTGAAGTCAAGTTTTCTGACTCTAAATTAGTTAACATTAACAATACAAAAGTTTCTTTTTTCTCTCTTACACCATGATTATAGGAAAAGCATCTCTAATGGAAAACCTGATGTTTGTATGAACGGAGAGATAAGCTTGATACTGGTGCTAATCACAAAACCATATATATGTTTTTAAATTTATAACAGTTATTTACACAGCTTCAGTTGCTGGAGTTGTGTTCCAATAAAAACTTGACCCTGTGAATCTAAAGTCTGCCATTCTCTAATGCAATTCATGTGCATTCATGTGCATAATGTCATGTGACATTAACAGGAAGTCTGAAGTACCAGTTTCTGAAATATAATAGCAAAGACCTCAACGAAGAGGCAGATTCTCAAGAAGGGTTTATTAAAAGCCTGCTTTCCCTTGTTCCCTAATCTGGACACTGTGAAGCACCAGATGCATTTACCAAAAGCCACAGCAAAGTTGCTCACCTGCATTCACATTTCCTGTGTTCAGTAAATGACAACTCCACGACGGGTAACTGATTCTCTGGGTTGATCTTCTTGAGCTGAAAGGGTAAAATCTAAGTAATTTGTTGAGCATCTTTATCTCTTTTCACTTCTCCCACTTGGTCAAAGAGCAGTTTTTTAAAGTATGACTCTGTTCCCCAGAGCCGTAGATTAACAAAGAACAATGTGTTTTTCTTTCACAATCAAAGAGAAGGTTTCTTGGCCACCTGTAGCTATTGGCCAGACAAGACAACATGTTAAAAACAATTTGTGCATGTAAATAGTGGTGTGCTGAGAAATATTTAATAACCAGCTCCATTGGCTCCCACTGCTACCATTCCACCACGGAACAGCTGATTGGTACACAAGGCATCAAGGCTCAGCTCTGCTCTTATCCCATAAAATTCCAGAACAATCAGCTGTCACAAGCCAGCACACCACTCCAAGTACTCCATTACATATGGAGCCATGTGATGTATCTGAGCTTTATTTTTAAAAATAACAACCCATGAGGAACAATAATAAGCAGAATTTGGGCAATGTTGGGATATTTGTTTTTAACTTCTTTTCATGCTATTTTCCAATGGGGCAAATAGTTATTTAGCTAAACATCGGATAACCCCTTCTAGGTAAGTAGCAGACTCGGGGAAAGCAATTCTTACCATAAGGCAGATAGGACTCACCACATCTCCACGCCTTCTACAGGCAGTCCTTGCTCACCAACTGCCTTGTTTAGTAACTGTTCAAAGTTACAGTGATTGGAGGAGAGAAAATCACTTCAAATCCTTGCATTTATGTCTGTTGCATAGTCCTGCGGTCATGTGATTGCTATTCAAGTGCTTTGTGACTTGTGTGCATTACAACTGTCCCGGAACCCCCGATCACATGATCATCATTTGCCAGCTTCACAACTGGCTTCCAACAAGCAGAATTAATGCAAAACACAGAAGTGAAGTTATAAATCATGACCATGTGATCTCTCTACCTTAAGGACTGCTGGTCTTAATAAGATAATTGCTGGTCCCAATTGTAGTTGGTAAGCTAGGATTACCTATGTTGTCCCAATTTTATATAAACAGACACACATATCCTTAAAGTAAAAAGAATACTATACAAATTCATACATAAATGTAAATGTATCATCCAGTCTGGTTCTAAGGCAATTCCTTCATCTGATTCCATGGCAGAACTGCCTTTGTATGTCTTAAGACAACATTTCTCAGCCTCCGCAATCTTAAGATGTGTGGACTTCATCTTCCAGAATTCCTCAGGCAGCATATTAGCTGAGCAATTCTGGGAATTGAAGCAGGGGTGAAATCCAGCAGGTTCTGACAGGTTCTGGAGAACTGGCAGCGGAAATTTTGAACAGTTCGGAGAACCGGTAGCAGAAATTTTGAGTAGTTTGGAGAACCGACAAATACCACCTCTGGCTGGCCGCAGAGTGGGGTGGGAATGGAGATTTTGCAGTATCCTTCCCCTGCCACGCCCACCATGCCACACCACACCCACCAAGCCACGTCCACAGAACTGATAGTAAAAAAAATTGGATTTCACCACTGAACTGAAGTATACCATCTAACTGTCCTACACAATGGAGCTGTAGAGTTTTGAAAAGATGGGAAAATAATATACAGCTTTTAACCAAAATATTAAGAACAGCTCCAGTTCTATGGGAACCTCAGCAGTGAACATTAGCTTCTTGGAAGCAAACTCTGAACTGCATTTCCATGAAACAAGCAAGCATTGACAGCTAACTGCAGAGAAAGTGAGGAAGTGACCCTGTGCTCCAGGATAAATGGAACTATAGTGTTCTCACCTACCTCCATAGTGATATTGGCCAGTTCCACTGGGACACATTGCAGTGCCTCATCTCTACAACATCCACAGCAGCGACGCAAAGAAACACAGGACGGTTTGAACACGTGCTCCACTTCATGTGGGTATTCTGATACAACACTGACCAGTTTCTCCAAGGGCTGGCAGGAGCTGCGATTCCAAACATCAAAAAAGGATACCACTAAAAAAAGAAAAGAAGTATAAAAGTAAAGTATTTAGTTGCCAGTTTTTTTATATATCCATTGCAGAAAGTGCACATAGGAAGCCATTGTATCTCTCTCTTGTACGTTTGTCAGAGAGCATCAGAATATTGTGTCCAGTTCTGGGCACATTTTAGGAAAGATTTTGACAAGCTGGAGTGTCTCCAGAGAACAGCAATCCAAAAGACAGGGAATCTGGAAGGAAAAAATCTTTGGAGAACATCTGGAGGCGGTGCGTAGGTGTAGGCTGGAGAAAAGACTGTGGGGAGACTTGATAACTGCTTCAAATGTGTAAAGAACTATTATGTAGAAGATGGGACATAATTTTTCAGGGTTGTTCCAAAGAAGAAGACAAAAATAATGGGCTTAAATTACATGGGTGTAGGTTTTAGTCAAACATCTGGAAAAACATTCAATTGGCAAGAGCTGTGCAACAAGACTTCCTTCAGAGATGGTAGGGTCTTTGTTGCTGAAAAGCTTTAAACAGAGGCTGGAGAGTCACCTGCTGGGAATACTATAGATTCCTGCACTTTGCAGGGAATAAAACAAGATGTTCTCCAACATCCCTTCCACACCTTCCATCTTATGACTGTAGGAAGTTGCCTTGCCTCTGTTTTAGCACTATCTCCCTCGAGGCTAGCAACATGTCACTCATGAGTTCTAGAGATCCAATGTCCCTTAAAAATGATGCCTACAACCCCACAGGTTAAATTGCAATCATTTTGAGAGTCCAATCAAAATTCCTCCAAAAATGGAGGAAATATTGAAAAATTTCAGAGCTTTTATGAGATCTCACTCCCCGACCTCACCCAACATACTTTTTTTGAAGGGCAAGAATCATTACTCATTGCACAATGATGTCTGCCAAGTAAAAAATAAATAAATAAAATACTGGATTTGCATCTACTGAATAGCCATGGTTCTTCAAGATGTAGAATAAAGGTCTTTTCCATTAATACTTTGAACCTTAATCATTTAACTGGAAATTGTGGACTAATACAAGATCGATCATATTAAAAGTAACAATAAACTGATTTTTTGTAAGATTTAGCAAGATTAAAAAAAATATACGAACAGTATTTGCTGGGAATGTGAAAATTATTGGAATTGTGGAAAACGGAAGAAAATCTTGCACTGTGTTCATATTGCTTTTCCTCAAAGAAAATGCTAGTTAAACCATAGCGTTTTCCCTTTTTTATTAAATCAATTTCTACAGATTTCAACTATTTCAGACCTTATAATCTAAATAAACAAAGTAGTAATTGAAAAAGGGAAAGGAAAAACTTGGATTGTAACATGAGACGTTACAATCAAGAGTGAAGAGATTCTCAAAAAGGGTGGAGGGTTTTTAAAAGAAATCCAAAGGGTAGCATCAGAGCGCATAAACAGCCTCCAAGACTCTTCCCATTATAGATTAGACAGACAGACAGACAGAAATATATAGTCCAAATCCACACTATAAGAGAAGGTCATGCTTCACATGTTTCATACTCACCTGCTCTATCAGTAGTGCTGTTCTGAAGAATCACGTCTTTCTTCTGGGAATAGAAGGGGAAAGGGGGAAAGGTCATTTTCCCAATACATTCCAGACATAAAAAGGTAGAAAGGCTGACATAACATGCCCCACAACCCTTCTCCAAGATGTTTGGGAACTGTAACAACCAGACTTTTAATTACAAATGGCTTACAGCTGAGAATCCTGGGAGTAGCAAACTCCGTGTCTACAAAACTGAATTCAGAGATATGTGACAATCTTGTTATTTCATTAAACAAACGATAACACAAGGGAAGTGTCCACTAACTTCATCTCAGGGTTTGCTAGAGTTCAAACATTGATTCATCCATTAGCAACAAGGAGAGGTCTACCTATGGTTTGGTAAAAGATCTAAAAGTAAAGACAATGTCTTCCAAAGTTCTGGTAAGCTCATTCCAGCAGAAAATAAGGGTAGGAAGAATGATCCTTGTCATACTCTTTTTACTTACTTTTATGTTTTCCCTCTTGAGAAGGAATTCATCCCTAGCAGCAAACATTTCTCTAAATACTGGGAATGGATTTTCAGAAAAGGATTCATTTGACCCACAGGCTGAGTCCCAACATACCCATGGAAAATTGCTTTTTAACATATTATCAAGATCGAAGAAAAAGGGTCCTAGACTTTTCTAGGATAGATGTAAGGGGGTTTCTGAGACTGTACCTCCCACTCTAAAATCAAATCTTTCCGCCTTCAGAGTGGAAGATTTCAAATACTCTATGGGTTTATTGGATGCCTTTTGGAGATTAGTTAAAATATGGATGGGGAGATGGTAGCAAAAGTTGCCAGGTCAGATCACCCTGATTTATTTATTTGTTTTGGAAAATTTATATAGCCGCCTACTCGCTCACGGCGACTCTAGGCTGTTTACAGAAAATAAAACACAATATAGGAAAAATATAAATAATAAAATAATAACCACTACCCCCTGCCACCCCCCACCCCCCAGTGGCAACAAACACTCATATCAGTGATTTAATGGGCTCCATCCCACTCTGGGTTTCCCCAGGCTTGCTGGGAAAACCACATCTTTAGGGCCTTCCGAAAGAGTGTCAGAATGGGGGCCCATCTAATTTCTGGAGGGATGATGTTCCAGAGGCAGGGAGCCACCATGGTGAAGGCCCTTCTTCTGGGTCCCACCAGGTGTGTACCTCCTTAGGGTCGGGATCAACATTCCTTGCCTCCCCACTTTAGTGGGTTGGGTGGATGTGACCAGCAAGAGACGGTCCTTCAGATAACCTGATCCCAAGACATGATGAGCTTTAAAGGTGATAATCAGCACCTTGAATTGCACCCAGAAGCAAATCGGCAACCAATGCAGCTCCCACAGGAGTAGTAACAAATATTCACACAAATATGCACAAAACCATGCAGGCCGCCGTGTTTTGAACCAAATGGAGCTTCTGGATGCTTTTCAAAGGTAGAGTGTATTGCAATAGTCAAGATGTATAGCAGAATTCTACTTGTGTTTGTAATCTGATTGAATATTCTAAAACTATTTATTGTCTCAAATGTGAAATAAGGATGCTGTTCCCTTGCCAGAATAGAAATAAGTTTTAACTACTAGTCAGATTCATTTCTGTGTATGCAGTTGTCCTTTCACGAGAAACAGCAAAATGTCTTGAGTTAGCCCTGGCATATACATACATAGAAGAAGAGAAAATTACTACCCAATCAAATATAGAAGAAAACTTTTAGATTCAGCATCTGTCATGTCTAAGTCATCTTGCTATGATTCATTTGATGGTGTTATCCATTCTTGCAGTTCCCAACTTTGTATTAGAAACACAAGGTGTCAGTCTAACACACAGTTTCCAATATCTGGCCATGCTAACATTTATATAAGGTGGAGGAAGATTTGAAGAGTCCTTAATGATTAAATGGAATGGGGGGGAAAAGAAGAGAAAGGGATAAAATAGAATTAAATGCTAGAAATGCAGCTTGGTAGTCCTAAAATTAGGCATGAAAATAGCAATATGAAAAGAGTATGGTAAAAGAAAAACATACTTTGGATAAGCGTCTACATACAGAAAGATGAATTTTCCCCAAATTTTATTCAGTCAGTTAATGAATTTGATTGTTATTACTTTGAAGTAACTCATACTAATTCATACCAATGTGCACTAAGAAATGCTTACATAAGCACAAACAGCTGTATATAGTTGAAGTTTAATAATTTGATGCCCTGACCTGCATAAAAATGAAAAATGATCAGTCATTTGCAGTAAATAACAAAGGTTGACAGAAATAATCCATCACTACCTGTTTTATATACATTATATTGTTTTAGTCCGAGAATAAATCTGTAGATTGTTTGTATATATTAAGTAGTACTCTGGATGGGTTAGCCAGTATTCCTGCAATTGAAAGTTTCTGCAGTCAACTAAAGTTTGACCCAACAAATGATTGTACTGAGCTACTAAAATCTAATCTTCCTACTAGCTAATACCTGATACTACTTTTAGCACACGGGCTGAATTTATTCCAAACCTGACTCAGAAACTAATGGATTTTTTTGCAATCTGATGCTGTCCAGATGCACTAGATTACAATCTCCATGTTCTCAGTCTCTATGACCAGGCCGGCTGGAATGTTGGAAACTGTAGTCTAACACCAGAGAGAGTGTTGAGCTGAAGAAAGCCAATCTAGTGTCAAAGAGCAGACCAAGGGCAGAAGGTGCCCAATAAGAGTCATTTAAGTCGTGCAGATGAGCCATTCCATCAGTTCTGCAGAAAAACCAGCCACCTCTTCTTCCTCAACTGCATTCAGCTCGTCATTAAGCAAACCAATTTTCTTAATTTTCTTTTTTCCTTCTTTCCTTCCCGTTTCGTATTGTATTATGCCTGATGTAGAACCCACTAAGTAGGATCAAACCAGGTTACTATCTGGTAGGAGATCAACTAGAAATGTCAGGGCTGTAAACTGTCCTGGGGAGTAACAATAAAATAAAGGCAGCAACGGCAAATCACTTCTGTATTGTTGCCATGAAAACAGCATGGATGTGTCCATGTAGGTATCAGGAGTCTAATTCAACTTGAAAAAAGTTTTATTTTTTTATCATGTCTACTAGATAGTAAAGCTATGAATACCCCCACCCCTCTCCACTCACGTAACTCTCTTTTATTTTTTAGAGCACTTCTTCCAAATCAATTTGTGTAGCATACACAAGCCTATTCGGGAAAACTCTTTACCCTGTGGTGCTTTTAGCCAGACTGTTCTTGACCTCAGTGACCTCATTGCACAGGACTCCCCTGGCTCCGATTGTCTGTGTGTGGACATAACAACTTTACAGATGAGTTAAAAAGAGATACTTGGGGAGATAGCAAAGCATCAACTGCAGAACTGAGATAACTGAATTTCTCTTTTGCAAAAGCTTGAAAAACCTAAATAAAAAGAGAAAACCATGTTCTGTGCAGTAATATGGTCCTCGGATTATTGTATGGGTCTGGATCCTGCATTTCACTCATAAGAAACTGTAGAGGAGGTTGGAAAATAAAGCGCATCATGCTGTACGTCAGAATGATAGGGGCAATTAAAGAATGTTAACAAAACACTACTGAGTTTAAACTTGAAATTTGGTTCTCCATCAAGTTGTCCCCATATCTATAATCAAAATGACTGTATCAATGTTTTCTAAATTGAGTTGTGTTGGGAATTCCCTCTACCCCTTTTTCCAAGCTGGGGGATTCTACATCCTACTCTACCACATCAAGAGTTTTATCCAAGTCCCCATTTCTGCTCTTCAGTGCTGAAGTTCTACCTTGCAGCTTCTGGGCACGTGCAGCTCTTACCCTTCTTCTACTAACTAAACACCTTTAACCACCCCCTACACAACTAGGCTTTCAGGTCAGATGACTTAAAACTACGCCCAGGACCACAGGGAGTTTAATGTGTGTCTTGAGGTACCGCTCTTCATCTGTGAAACACTTGACCGTGTAGCTCCTACAATTCTGAGACCTGAGCAAAACGCTTCCGACGAGGTCCGTTCCCGTTTGGTTCTTCTCGTTTTAGTAAAGAAAGACAGCGCCGATCGCCGGGGATTTTTCGTTTCATCCTCTCCAGGGGACACAATCGTAAGCCCCTACCCCCAGATCAAGGAGAATGACACGGGAGAGCAGCGGATCCGGGCATCGCACGCCCAGCAGGCACACTGGGACGCGAAATAGCACCCCCCGCCCCCCAAATCCGGACAGATCTAACCCGCCAAACGATTAATTAATTAGCCAGTTCCGAAAGTTCACCTCACCTGAGCGCCCACCACGTGCAGAGCAAGAGCTACCAGGAAACCTCGGAGAAGTTGCATCGCGACCGCCAGCTCCTTCCACGACTGACGTCCACGATCAGTCAATAAAACCTGGTATCCCTGCCGGCTTTGGGAAGCCTCTGTCTGGGACGAAGCCAAAGGCGTCGAGCTGCCCGGCTCCTCCGCGTCGCTTCCGCGAAGAAGAGCCTCTGAATCAGGTACCAATCCCGCGCGCCGAGCGAGGAGCCGCTTCCAAGAGCCCGCCGCTCGCCTCGCTCCGCCCGAGGCTGCAGCGACTGAGGGGGAGGGAGAGCGTGGGTCGCTCCTGTCGCCCCAGGCAGGGCCATGTGAAGGCTGCCCGCCTTCCTGCTCCTCCCACGGCCCCTGGCACTCCGCCCTCGCTCCCTGCCCTGCCGCTGGAGGGCCTTTCCGGTGCCCCCCCGGGATCGTTTGGCTGACTTAGCGGACGTGTTGGAAGAGGACTCTGTTGCGGGAAAGCCCGAGTGACTCCGGCGGGAAGGTCCAGGGTTGTTGAGTAACGCCTGCCTGCTCCGAGACACGCTCCCCGAGGGTGTTTTTTCTTCTGAGCGTGAACTATAGCCTGGAGACTTACCAGGGAATTCCTGCTACTTTCCCTTTATTGATTTTCACCTTCCCCTACCTGCCTTCCTCATGAGAGGTTCTTAGGCCAGGAGCCTTTCGATGCCTGAGGTGGAGAAATAGTAGCATCTGTTCACACCCCCAGACACACCCCCAGTGGAAGTGCATGTTGTCTCATTAATCAAAGCACTTTTTCACAATAAAAATACTTTTTTTTTATTTTAAAAACAAAACTTTATTAAACATATAAAAAGTAAGATGTTATACCATGTATATACAAGATACATATGTTAATACAAACGACAATATATAAAAAGAAAAAGTGACTTTGGTCTCACGTCCATTATCTTATTAACGGTGCATATTTGTTAATTATTATTATACAGAATTTTACATTTACTCTCATTTCTACGAGTTATCCAATTATACCACCTATTCCACGCTATATAACCTTTTGAGTCTACCTTAACTGATCAACTGCCAACAGACCAATTGATAATCCAAAAGATCTATAATTGTGTGGAAATGGACAAACTAACATTTGAAATGAAGGATAAGGTGGACTGAAAAATAATTTTCAACCGTTTCTCTTTGTCCCTGATAGAAGAAAATTAAAAGGTGACAAAATAAATAATTACCATTTCCTGATATTTCAAGATAGCTAAAATCTAATCCCAAGTGGCTATTTTTATTCAGTTTTATATTCTGGCTGTCTCTGCTAAACAGGAGGAGGAGGAGGATGCAATAGGTTAGAACAATACTGTAGAGTACAAAGTATCATCCTTCAATTAATACTGTGACTTAACAGGACAATGAAAGTATCAAGCAGAACAAAAGCAATGAACTTCGTTTAAATAAGAGGGTGAATTAAAATGGTCCCAAAACAACAAGAACATCAACTAAGCAGGTCTTGGTAGGAAAATATCCTCTTGTTTAAAGATACATTACTTACCAATCATGATGCTTGGAAAAGCACTTTCTTAGAAGATTTTAACCTATGGATGTGAGCTGGAGACACTCATTGAAATCTGTAACGGGATGCCTTTGAGAGTGGAATACAAGGACGGCACTTCTGTGTGCAACATGAGATTAATCCCACCCTTCTTTAGATTTGTCTATAGAAAGCTTTCATTAGAAAACTGCAACCAATTTGGCATATGGGCAAACAGCCTAAAACTTATTTCAACAGTTGCACTATATAATTTACACTTAAGTATTTGCAAAGGAGGATCAGAGTTGCACACCTTAGTTTTGTCATGGCTACCTGTAAAGACCTTCCTTATCTATGCGTGACCTTGACAGTCCTAGGCACTGTTCTTTAGTTAGTCCATCTTAAGAGAGTTCAAACATCCTTCATTTCAAACACAGAAGTGACATAACATGCACACTGTATAAATATTGGGTGAGTAGTTAATTGTCCACATTTTAAATACATGTAATTGTTGTATTCCATATTTTGAGCCTTGGTGGCGCAGCAGATTAAAGTGCTGTTAAGTAGCACCAGCTGCCTGCAATTACTGCAAGTTCAAATTTTACCAGGCTCAAGGTTGACTCAGCCTTCCATCCTTTTGAGGTAGGTAAAATAAGGACCCAGATTGTGGGGGCAATAAACTGACTTTGTATAATAAGAACACCGCTGGGGGGGCGGCAGCGAAAACCCTACTAAGCAGGTTTATACAAAAGCATGAAGGCTATTGCTTAACGCATTGTAAGCCGCCCTGAGTGTCCGGAGAAGGGCGGCATATAAATCGAACCAATAAATAAATAAATACATTTTGTATTTTATTTTCTATAGTTCTATATTTAGTTGTATTTTTTTTACTTTTTTAATTTTAATGAAATTTACCCTGGATGTTTGAATTGTTCGTATGGTTTTACTCAATTGCTGTGAAACAGAGTAAGTATGTTGCTAAGACAGACAGATGTAAATATTAATTCATATGTATAATATCAGAATATCTACATTCAGGGTTGAACTATGGAGTTCTTTGGTCTCTGCGTGTGTTGTTTTTTTGCAGAGATTTCATTACCCAGCTAGGTAACTTCATGAGTACAAGTGAGTGTGGGGTTTGCTGCCTGTTTATAAGTATAATTTCTCCCGAATGGGGCAGAATCTTGGCTGGCCCAAGAATCAGGTTCATTGCATGCATGTAAAGGGGCTTCTTGTATTTGCCAATCCTAATAAGCATGGGCATCCATGGGAAGTTTAAAAAAACAAAACAAAATAACAGGCATGACTGTATATAATCAAATTCCTGTCTCTTTTAACAAGCATCAACATGGCACACACATTGATGCAGCATTCAATGGAGTATCCACACCTCCACTTGATTTCTTTTACCTAAATGGCGCTGATTGTAAGTGTCAAACTTTTCTTCATTTTGCACCCTATAGTATAATAATAGAGTGACTGTTTTGACAGATTTTTGGTTTGAAGCAATTAGGTTTCTTTGGCATGTCATTGTTTTTTGCACTATTGCTTCTTACAGCCATCTAAATGTTTATTGTGACTTGACTTGTATATTATCATTTGGATTTTATTTCTTTGAAAGCTGTATTTGAGGCATTTGCTGTAAAAATAATATTTAAATACAGTAAGAAAAAAAAGTAATTCTAGTTTCTGCTTGGAGGAAGTAGTGTATAATGTTCAGGACATTCTTATTTTACCAGAACATTTTGAAACTTGGGTAGAAAGTGCTGAATAATGTACCAGCGATCTGAGTCAAAATAAACCAATTCTTATTTCTAATTAAATGTAAGATTTGGATTTAATGTTTGCCAGCTGTCTTGAGAACTTGCCAGAGTAGAAAGGCAGGGTGTAAATCAAAATAACTGAAATAAAATAAACAAAGAACATTCTGCTGCCCAGCACTATTTTCAATTTTAACAGCTCCATAAAGGTGAAAGTTTGGTTTTGCTTGTACTGGATGCTTCAGGTAGAAGCTGCACAATTATATAATAGGAATGCTTTAATTCTAATTTGTCCTGCCTTGGTCAGGAATATACAGCTATGTAAAAACATATTTTTTCCAGGAGCAGTCTGTCCCTCAGTAGCAGACTTTCCTCAAAGTTCAGGTCTTTTTCATTCAGTGTATGTTCTTCATATGTACCAAACCAAAACTCCCATAATTCCCAGCTATACTAGCTATACTGGGTCAGTTTTATGGTAACCTGTCCAACTCTTCTAGAAAGCATTTGTTTGGGGAAGACTTGTTTAAATGTACTCATAGAGTAGAAAATAACTAGTTTGTTTATCAGGAATGGGAAACTCAAATACTAAGCATAAGTCACATATTAAAATGCAAATAATAAATTTAGAAGGGTGGGTTTTTTGTTAATAGAAGAGGAAGAGAAAGAGTTGAACTCTTCCTGCCCATCCATATGGTCTGCAATCTGACTGATGTCTGTCTAATAAAGAAGTTGCTCATTGGAATAGAATATCTGTAATTCAGGGTTGAACTGCGGAATTTTTGGTGCTTTTAGAGTTTAATTGTTTGCTTGCAGACATTTCACTACCCAGCTAGGTAATATCATCAGTATGAGTGAATAGGAGATTTGCTTCTTGTTTATATAGTAAAGCCCTGCCAATATTGGAAGAGATGTGACTTTTTACTTGGTTGATGCATATTGCAATAAGATGCATATTTTATTTTATTTTATTTACTTATTTATTTATTAAATTTGTATGCTGCCCATTTCACTGTAACAGCAATCCTGGTCAACTGTATTGATATTGCAATCATTTCTATGGTAGTTTGGCTTCAGAAGAGCCAATGAAGAATTCAGTATGAATGGTCAAGGATCACAAGGTATCTATAGCGATCTTATTGACTTAGAACAGAGGTCTTCAAACTTGGCAGCTTTAAGACTTGTGGACTTCAACTCCCAGAATTCTCCAGCCAACTATGCTATGCTGGCTAGAGTTATGCTGGCTGGAGAATTCTGGGAGTTGAAGTCCACAAGTCTTAAAGCTGCCAAGTTTGAAGACCTCTGACTTAGAATCTAGGAACTGTTGGCAAGGCACCAGGATGGGGAAAGCTATGCACACAGTTCACCACACCAATCTGAGTACCCTCTCAATGTGTGACTTCAACTCACATCCATTACTGAGAATTCTGAAATTTAATTGAAATCTACCCACTGAGAAGTGCCCAGATTTGGAAAACCTGCTTTATCACATATGGTGGAATCACGATTATGCAAAGCACTTTGGTAGTCCCAAAGTTTAAGATAATACTTTGAAACCAAAGTAGAAGCTGGCATATTATCTGAGGACTGACTGAACAGGACCATAAAAGGAGCTGCGTTTTTTAAACAACTTTCCATTTAATCTCTCTTTCTGTTTTTTTCACTCTTTGGCATTTTTCTTTCTTTTTTTAAGCACCATTAAGATTAAGAGGTCAATTCCACAGAAACCAACAGAAACATTAACTTTGCTGATCTTGGATATATGCCATAAAAATAGAATTTACTTTGTACATTTTTATTGTTAGTGGTCCACAAGCCAGATCAGGATTAAGATTTTATTACCGTATGCCCTGGCCTATATAAATAGAGGTGAGAATTATCCAGCCTCAAGGGAAAAAAATTATTTAAGAAGGCATTGATGCTCTCTAAGCTTAGTTGTTTGCTTACAGATGTTTCATTGCCCAATTAGATAACATTACCAGTGCAATATTTTAATTATATTGGGTATTTATAGCTCAGCTGTGGTTTGGATT